ATTAATGATTTCCCCTCTCTATATTATTATTGATACAATGATGTTCTAGCAGTTAGCTAGACGTTTTCGAGGGAGGGTTCAAGGAGAAATCAATAAAGAAGTACTGGTACTTATATTCGGAGTAGAAAAAAAAAATTCATAAGTATAGTATAGCTATGAAAATATTTTTACAACTTGTGGTGATTAAACTCTCGTTATGAGAATGCTTGCCACACCTCAAAAATAACTAGCTAGCATGCAATAAGCTACATATAACAAATACGTAGTATGTTTCATTCAAAAATACCTTGAAAATACGGGGATGGAATGTAAATATCCAAAAAATGCACGATTATGTCCAACAAACAAAAAATAGATTTAATTAGCTACATGCCCCCTCAAAAATTTTGCAAGGCGCGCTCCACACTTTGAGAACCATTGCCCCACTGAATAATTGCTGATACATTTTTAACGCTAAATAACAGATTTTTTGGGTAGAATATTAAATTTTATGCCGACGATACCAAGAAATGAACACGGGTCCGGTTCTAAAGACTTTGCCATATAAAATTGTGAGCGCGCATTGGTGCCCAAACCAACAGCATTATTGCAAACACAAGGGGAAAAGTTCCTTTTCAAGAATGATAAAAATCTGACAAAATTTGGAACAAAATAACGCAATTTTTATCCCGAATATTGGGCGGTAATATGACAAAAACACGATTTTACATTGCTAAAATTTATTCTTGTCTCATTCGCTTATTAGCCATAGAAAAAAAAACGATAGTTGTCCGAATCATGATATTATAATGTATTTAGGGCATTTTCCATAAAAAATTCTATTTGACAGACGAACCAAAACTGACTATACTCAATATATTAAAAATAAAACTTTGTCCGCAGATTTCCCGAAATATTACAAATATTCTTTATTGATAGATATGCAAGTAATTTACACGATTGGAAAAAACGAATCAGTTTCAAATTGCATTTACATACAAAACATGCGAAACAACAACATTTACGGAATTTGTTAACTTTATATTCATAACTATTATACATGTGTCAACCAGCTCCTTCACGAAGTATATTTTTATTGCTAAATAAGTTTCGCTCTTTATAACTAACAAGAGGGCTATGCTCAAATATATGGACACGAAATTCGTAACGAAATTTTTTACCATCATTTCCCCGAAAATCATACAGTTTCCGTATCCCACGTGTTCCATGGGAAATACAATTGTGTGTTGTCCCATTCTATGCAACGTTTTCCATGGACAAGTCTGGACATAAAGAAACTTTTGCTATAATGCGTATCCCCATTAAGTTTTTGGCCATTTGGAACCGTTGCCACAAAATCTTAATATGGTGAGATGGAGTGAATATTTAAATATTAGATGCAAACAGCTAATTTTCAAAGAGATGCTAAAATTGTACAATATTCTGCCTAAAACTCAGCTATCAAACATGTGCAACGATACTTCAAACACTCTTACGGAAATTTCTTCCTTGGTCTATTAGTGCATTGGTTCTCAAAGTGCTCCGTGAAAGAAACTTAGGCGCTCCGCGAGATATTCGATTACTGACTTGGCTAATTTTGTGACTGTCCAAAGAAGTAAAAACATCATTAATAAAATTTGACATCAGTAGCGTCGAAATATGACAACAAGCGTAAATTCGAATGTGACATTATCTATAAGTAGGATCGCAGTGGATAAAAAGTTCTCTCTCGAATAAAATATTCAATTCATAGCCGGTGCGAGCATTTTAAATGTCTTGTCATAGTAATTTCATTTCAGTAATTTATTTGTGTTCTTTGTTGCTCGAATTTTAGTCGAGAAAACTTTTACGATTAATAAAATGAAAAATCACTATTTAAAAACTGCATAAAATACGTCCAAACTGCCAACTATAAGTAGACCCGAATCGTATTTTGAGGTTAGTCAAATTTGATTGTTTTTTCGGCACTCAAAATAAAGATATGAACAAAATACGAACGATTGTAATTTAAAATATTGTAAAAAAAATTGCTCGACATATCCTGCATTAATTATCTTATATATCGTCACACACCGAGAAAAGGTCTTATTGGGCTCCATCGGTAGTATCAAAATAGACAAAAGGTACATCGCGCGAACTGTGTTTCGATTTCAGTTACTATATGGTATATCTTTAAAAAAATTTAACACAACAAATTTACAATGTCTAAAAAGCGTTTTCAATCTGCTGCGAGACTGCTAGAACAAAACTTATGGTGATATCTTCCGTTTTAGATTTTAGTATTAATATTTTATAATGCCGCTTTTCAATCAAGAATTGGGTCGCGGATTCACCTCTTTATCATTTATATATTAGCATCTCTTCAGCGATTCTCACTTGTTTTGCACACTGAACTCATAATTCCGCACAAGAACAGAAAAAGTTATCGTCGGCCTCGTGGAACATTTCATTCATATGTCAAAGAAAATTTGTGATTCAGGGAGAATAAGCAGATAGGTCGTTTAAAAACACGTCGCGCTGACGAAAACCATCGGCTATTCTAAATGTTTAGCATTTAAATAAAAGTAATTAATTTTAACTTACTTAGGAATAGTGATAGATCACAATTTTAAAATTTATTGTGCGGATCCGTGAATAATGGTGATGAATGGTAATTAGGAAGATTCAAGATTTTAATAACACACTTGCTCTTCAGAGTCGAGGCAGTCACCTCTCTCAGTGATGCATAATCGGACAAATAACTCCGCTTGTCTTTCAGTGTTTCAGTGTTTCTTGTGTTTCAGAAAGCTGAAATTTATATGAGATAATGAAATGTAGGTAAATTTTGTATAATATTGTTTCGAAATATATAATAGTTGTTGAATTATGTCAAAATTAAGTTTTAGGTTTAAAGATTACAGAAAATGTAATTTGACAGGAGCACAGAGAAGCTATTCTTATACTTTAGATCAGTGTTTCCCAACCCGAGTCCGCGGAGCGTTTGAATGAGTCCGCAACGAGTCAGAAATTCACTGCGGGCTGCAAACGTTTTTGCGAAACTTAACTATCAGCCAAGTCACGAATTCACATAAAACATAAAAGACAAGTTTATTCAGATAACATTATTCGAGTCAATAATTACTGGTCATATATTCGAATATTCAACTATTAGAATAGCAATTCACTATTCGAAAATTTGGTAACAGGTGACGCGTCGCTTAATCAAATGATTTGATTTCACAACTCACATGCGGATTTCCGTCGAAAACACGGGTCTGCACACGCTTCGATAGAGTTCGAGAGTTCGAACAAGGAATAATTTTTTTCCTTGTTGTAGGTGTCAATGGTGGCAACCCAAATTTTCTAAATTGAAAAGCAGCAATACAAAATACTGAATATAAAACGGATAACACCATAAGTTTTGTTTTACGATTGTTCGCGACCGATTAAAAACGTTTTTGTAGACATTGAAAATCGCAAAATTTCGGGTGCTGCCATAGTATACATACCAGGGCAATATTCAATTTTTTCGCGATACCAAATTCGCAAGATCGCAACAAATATGTATCAGAACTAAATATGATCAATATATTTTTACATTATTATGTTCGCAGATTGACGTGGCATTTTAAATTAGTAATGCTTTCATGTTGTCGTAAGTCGGCGCAACCGCGTTTTACCATGAACACAATTACATTAAAATAGAAAGACATTTTAAATTCTCATCGTTGTCATGGACTGAATATTGTGCGACAGAAACGGCCATTATACACTAAACAAGTCGACCCCTATAACGAACGCGTAATTGCGCGAATTTCCGATTTTGAAATTTTAATGTTATGTTTGGTTTTATTGCTTCTTCACACAGAGGTTATTTACAGATTTCCGCCTAAATTACAAATATTACTTTGGAATGATTTTTCAGTGTATAATATTGCAACACATCATATAAATTATATTTATATTCATTGAAAACGATGTTGAAAATACGGCAACATATCCAAGAAATGAAAATATTAAAAATAAGGCGGGAAAGATGAAATCTAACAAATATTTCTATTCCTAATTACCTTAACGTCCTTCAAAAATTGTCCACGCCCTTGTGATAAGCTATGCTTTTTCTAAAGATACAAAGACAACTTCTAGCCTACTGTGACCATTATTTGTCATATTGGTGCATATATAGGCACTCTATTAACAAGTTAAACAATAGGTTTTAATATTCGCATGGTTATTAAGTTGGGGTTGTGTTTTGACCGAATTGCACTTAACGAGGCATAGTTCAATTCATTTCAGTATCTCTGCAGATATACACTGCTGGATTAACTTATAGTATCACTCTGAAAAAATTTCACTGTTTGTTGTAATCATAACGTGACGCCCTATTGCGATAAAACGCCTTTTATTTATGATGGCTAAATGATCTTATAAACTGACATTACAAGATAGTAATTGGCCTTTCGGTTTGGACGATTAAACAAAACGAAAGCAGATGGGACAACACAGTAGTTAGTCCCTAAACGTGCAGCGCTATACTGACTATGCCATTATTCACCGTATATTGCTACAGTTAACAGTACAGAATAGGTAATTCCGCGATTCTACGAAATGAACATGGCAAGGTTTTAACACATTTTGCCATTTTGACAATTATGAGCGCGCATTGGTGCCTAAACTGACAAAAAGAAGATCAATACAATGCATTCTTTTGTCTCGACTATTGAGCGGGAACAAAAAAAACCAAATTTTTATTTCTAAAAAAATGACCCCCGCCTTATTTGCTGGGCCGACTCAATAGCCAAAATAAAACGGTAGTTGTGCGAATCATGTTATTATGAAATTGGGGTTGTAATTTATAGAAAATTTCATTTGACAGACGAAACAAAACTGAGCTTATACTCAAGATAACTCGATTATTAAGAATTATGACTCAATTATTAAAAGTAATAATTTGTCTGTAGATTTCCCGAAAAAATACAATATATAATCTTTTTATTTATAGAAATGTGAATTGAAAGATTTTAAATGATTTGGTTACATACTTGCTCTTCAGACTTGATAGGCCTCCATCTCGCTCGGTGATGAAAACCTGGCGCTTACGAATTTCTTTTGGTGCAATGATAAATTGTCCTGCCGACTTTCAAGCAGTGTTTCAAAACGCTGAAAATCAATATACATGTCGTGATTTTGTGTAAGCTAAATTTGAATTAAACTAAATTTCGTTGAGCCAACTATGCCATTCTCAGGTAGTTAATTCACACAAATGGTATTTGACAGAGACACTGTAAAGCTATGCTTATGCTAAAGATACAAAAAATCAACTATGTAATTCATTTTAGGTCATTTTCAACCATGTCGCTCATTTCACCAAAATTACATCCTTTAGTTATAATGATATGTTAGTGTATCCTATTGTACGACATTTTGTATTCTTAAGGTAAGACTCTTTTCTGAATTTTTTTTTCTAAAAATATACGTAAGTTTGAATAAAATACGTAACGGGTAAATTTCGACATTTTATTTCATAAAATCCAAAACTTAGTAAATTTGGACGAGTAAAATTTATTTAGCGATTGCCATTAAATTTCAAATATATACATATCACTACTTATAACATATCAGGTATAGTTTTCAAACTGCACAAATTGCATATATTACAATAACAATAAAATACCCAATGAAGTTTTAACTGTTTCATGGAGTATATGACTAATTCCCTCTGATCAGTAACTTGTAACAGGATTATCACATTGGGGATCGCTATCCAGCAGGGAAGCGCGCAAAGAGAGTACACTAATTTGGTACAAAGTACTATATTTATAGTATTTTTTTGGACTTCTGCTTCGAAACACAATTATTAAAACTAGATAGAATGCACAGGACCAGAAAGTCGACATAATAATGTTGGCTTGCATCGAACTATTTAGCATTTTAAACGTGAACGTGGGTCTTACTTTTTTGGACTTTTGAATCGAAAGACAATTATTAAAACTTGTGCAAATATGAATCTTACAATTTCGAGAGAAAACACACGATCAAATAAGTGGAATAACAATGCTGACTCTGATCGCAAGACCCGAGAAGCGATGCGCTCGCATCGAATTGTTTAGCATTTTAATTAAACGAAAACAGTGGTATACAGCAATCAATAGGCGTCGAAAGTCGAATAAAATGTTCAAATAATATTTACTTGTAATATTCCTCGTCCGTTACTTGTGTCTTCGAATCTTTAATATTTCTGCATCTGAAATTTTTTTTTAAGATATTGATAAATTAACTGTCGCAGAACTGTAGCTAGCATATTCAATGGACAGTGGGACTGAATTTATCGGATCGTTTGCACAAAGCTCCCGCCACGTTTTAAAATGACATATTAGTAATTATCCATTCGGGGTTAGGAATGATTTCAAAATTTGAATTTCCAGCGCAATCTGCATTCCTAACTTAAACTGGATAATTACTAATTCTCTTATTTTGAACGTTGGTAGGGTCTTTGTACAAAGATCCAATCTATACACAATAATATAGCAAAGGAAAAAGGCTATGACGAATCTCTATGAAACCATGGATTTTGCGCTACATTTGCGAAAGTTTTAGGCACACAATGTTCCATGTCATACGCGTTTATTGTAAAACGGTTGACTGTAAATAAAATGAAATAATCAATAAGCAATCACAAAATGAGGGCGGAAAGAAAATGCATAAACAGAAAGTTAATAGAAAATAAACTTACATATGATAACGCTCCAAAGGCCTAAATTGACGAGAGACGGACAGGGAACGTGATCGATTACGTTATTTGAATAAAAATAGCAACTAAATTTAGAGAGCAGTTAATAAGAATGAAATATAAAAATACATGAACTATTAAAGCAATAAATGACGACGATGTTCATATGGGGCCCCGCCTACGATACCCTCACCACAGTTCTACCTAACGAGACCAAATGCCACCCACACGCTAAGTCATTAAAGAAGAAAATGCGAAACCACACCACTAAACCCTAAACAAGTACGATCTGCGACGCGTAAGTCGAAATGCAAGAGTCACGCGTGACACGTCAGATGCAGTAAAGCCCGCGAAACTCGCGTCACAACAGAAAAGCAATTATCGATAAAAAATTAGCCAGTCGGAACACAAGTAAGAACATCGTTCAAAATATAATCAACTGAAAAGAAACTTCTATCGCCGACAGCCTATTTGTGAGAAAACGATGGAACCCGCTGTTGGTGAGTTCGATACAAAAGAGAATCATTCATCAATCTGTACTTCTGTATTAGGTTAATAATTCCAATTCGTATAGGCCCGAAAACCTCTAATTTGGTTCCTAACACAAAACCCTAACTGCATATTTACTTATTTTTTATTTTAAAACGTGGCAGGGGTGTTTATCTCAGATCACACATTTTTGCATCAGTGACGGGAGTTTAGTACAAAGAATCCAGTAATTCCTATATATTTGACTGTATATATTTGTCGAGTAAACGCGCACGTGAATGCCATCAAAAATGTAACCTTCCTACAACTCAATGAAGGAATAACGGCGTGTACAAGTTAAGCGTTATATCAATGCATTCTCTACATTGGCGTACAAATCAGTTCATTGAATAATTTTTAAGTTAATTTTAAGTTTTTATACAATGACGTGCCGGCTATGTCGTTAAAAGAGAGGTCATGATGTGACATTGTTTCGAAGCCTACTGTATAGTAATTTCTTCACCCAAACCAAACGGCGGAGACATAACATCAGCAACAGCATTAATCACGGTTCTATGCGAAGTAAATAATTGACTGCTCAAGACAAGAGCATACCGACGAGTCGACGACAACAACTAATAATGTATAGATCAACTATTCGAGACCATCCAAATATTTGGTGTTATGAAGCGCGGAGACCTTGGGTGCGTATGAAGCACTTTGAGTCTGTCTCTAGATTAGACCTCTTAGTAAAGAACGATCATGATACAAGTATGTACGCCGTAAAGGACTATTCTGAGATTTAATCACCCAGGGCAAGGGTAAACACGTATTTTAATGTATATATTTAGTATCTATGTCAACCAGTCCACTGCAGCTGACTACGTTGGCGCATCGTGCTAAGCCTTAGGAGTACGCTTAATTTCTAACCTAAGATTACCCCGCTTGGATTCGCAAGTTCAAATCCCGTAGGGGATAATTTAGTACCAGAGGATTGCTGGCGGCTTCCTCCCGACACCCCAACCTCCAGCCAGCGTTTCCCAAATTTTTTTCGCCACGGAACACTTACACTTTTTATGTCGCTTCGTGGAACACCAAAAATGAAATTGATAAAGAAAAATGATGTAATGCAGCGAGTTGCCAAATGCGCCGCGAAAACTAACAGAATTGTGTTAAACATACCTAAAATATGATTGCATATAAATTTTTTTTAATTTGAATGCTGGGTATATGAAGCAATAAATTCATTTTACCTTTCTATGTCGATTACTTTTCATTACGTAGTGTTTGCCTTTGTTGCAACGTAACAATGAGGTACTTTATTTTATTTATCTGTTGAATCTAGTTTAGCAAACATGAGTAATTTATTCCGCATTTTAAAGTAAAAACCAGGCAGAGGTGGAGGAAGAAAAGTTGAGTTTTTGCTATTATCTTCAGGTCTACATGTTTGTCTACAGCAAAACCATAAGCTGTAAACTTGATATTATATATACTTGACCACCCGCAAAAAGTTAGTCAGCTTTACGCCGACGGTGACGCGATATATAACGGTCGTTAGATGGGCGACAACTTTATGATGGCGTGGTTGATATGGCGACCAATTCAGCCCTAAGCGAACGCCATATATGAAAAAGATTGCTTTCTTGTAGGCTTTCCCACTACCGGCGGAAAAAATCTCATGGTATATAATTTTTGCAGCCATAGATTAAACATTAACATAAAGTCATCAGCTTTACAAACTAGGGCTCAACGTCTCAAATTCATAACTTTGGCCGCGAGTAGGGCTAGCCTAGATTTTACTGATTGGAAAAATTTGCCCGACTTGGCTCAGTTGGATGATGCATCGACTGTCGGATTTTGGTAATTCATACACAATTTCATAGATCAATCGAAGGCTCTCTCCCAATTTACCAAGCTAAGGAAGAACACAAGAGAATCGATTCCGGCCCATTCCAAGTTGAAGCAGTAAGGAAAGCTTACTTGTGCCTTTATGGGTTTGGCTTGAGGTAGGATCTTCATATAAGCGTGACTGAGGTCTGAACTGCATATTTAATACACTGACTTGTAACGATCCATTTATACACGCAGTGTCCAATGAGGGGACGAGCTGAAAAAGCCCAACACTTGGATAAAAATAATTTTGTGTCTCCAGTATTAGATTTTCTATATGTAGCCTTCCATTCAAACAACTAAATTATCGCACTATTGGATTCCTCCGGCCTCTTGAATGTTCCACTGGGGTTATGCTTCACAAAAAAAAAACGAGAATATCGGTCGGAGACCTAGGACTTATCGTTCGAAACTGCGATTTATGACTCTATAGTGACACCGCGTCTCTCATCACTAATTAATTAATAACTCGCTAATTATACGACATAATTCATCCAAAATCAATAGGCTTCTGGTCCGAGATATGATGAATGCACATGCAAAATGGAGCAGATTCAACCACGCCTTCGTGAGATATCGCGTGCATCTAACAGACAGACAGACAAACAGACATATACCTACCTACCTAAAGATTGATAAGTAAAAACACTGGGTTGCATCAACAAATGATTCCATGTTTGATAACTAGATTAACTGGACAGCATAACCGATTTACTAATATTATAACCCACACGGACTGGTAACCGGGCAAGAGGGCGTGGTACTCAGGTTCGATTACGCAGTCATTTCGGCTTTCATCACCCCCACCGGATAAATATGTAAATCCTATTCCTTTCTTACAAACTTTTAGTAATAATATACAATAACCATATATATTTTGATGTTTTGGTCGGATGTATTCCATGAGCACATCATACAGGGTACCGCACGAACGAACGCAGCATGTTAATTACCGAATTAGCCTCGACGAAAATCGGCTAATTAGGTAATATTTTGACGGCGGTGTCCTCGTCGGTAACCGTAGCGACTAGGTGCCGTTGCGCGTAAGTCTTTGGGTTTAAATCCAGATAGGTGTTAGCGTGAGAAGGATAGGGTTAGTGGCAGAAAGCAGACAGAATGGCCATTACACAGGAAGGAACTTAGAATCCAGGTAGTGTGGGTAGGTGAGGGTCAGCGGCGGAACGTAGACACGAAGGAAGTTGTAAATAATGTGGTGCAGGTCAAGGTAGGGTTGCCAACTATGAACTCAATAAAGGACATAGATTACCGTCATCATTTATTTTGTTACTTGCAGGAAGGAACAATATAAAACAATGAAATACAAATTATATACAAGCTAAAAAGATAAATTAAAAAATCTTCATGTGTTTTTGATTTAATGTTTATTTAACATTGACCCAATCAAGCTGCATTCTGTGAACAGTTAAGTGCTTTGAATCGTGCCAACGTTTTTTTTTTGAATGAGTGCAACCTTATCAAATAGGGCAAACATATTCAAATTAAGTTTGTCTTTTAGCTACAAATGCTCTACAATTTTTACAAGTGTCTGATATTTTGGAGAAAGATTATCCAAAAGAGATAATTTTCCAAATGTTGAATTTTCATCAATGTCAAATCATTTTTCCAAATACGTTATCGCAGAGTTGAGAAATCTTAGAGACCAATTATACGTAGAATTTTCAGTTATTGAACTAGAATTCACTCAAATCTTGGAGTGTTGCCACTTGCCATCTTCGGAAAATTAATGTAAAATTGGTATATCTTTGGCTATTTGAGCCGTACCAAAGCGAAATTAAAAAGAATAATTAAAAGCTTGCAAATACATAAACGGAGGCGATTTACAAACGAAACAATATCAAACACAGTACTATAACTATCGTGCAGAACGACGATGAAAAAAATAAAGGACAATTATCATCTTAAAAAGGACAAGGACAAAAATCTCAAATAAAGGATTGTCCTTTGAAATAAAGGTCGGTTGGCAACCTTAGGTCAGGGCCAGTGGCTTGACAAAGAGTCAGCACCAGAGTATAAAACTAAGTGAAATGAAAGAAAGGCTGGGTTGCCTTGTGGCTGTGCCTGTCAGATTAATTAATTCTTCACCGATTGGATTGCAAACAATTTCACCGCCTGGAATACAATATATATTTCGCATCTATATGACTCCCTACCAACGTAGTTCAAAAGATCTCTCACTTTACGAAACTAGCAAAATATTCATGATCCTGCTTTTAAATCTCATGGGAGCTCTCATTGGATTTTTGTACAAAGCTTCCGCCACTAATACACAAAATGAAAGGTTTGATAGCAACAATCCTGAAATGTTTTAAATAAAAAATTAATAATTATCCAGTTGGTTCGGAATGAAATAAAAAATGGAATGTTCGGCGCAATATGCATTTTTAACTGAATACTGAATACTTTTTTCATTTTAAGCGTTGGTGGAAGCTTTGTACAAAACATCCCATATATAGCCGGTCTGTTCTTTATGCTTAGTTTCTACAAGAAATGAATGTTTGAACTTTTTCCATTTTTTATGCCCAAATTTGAAATCCCAATCTTATATTTCGGGTATCGATAAGAATTGATGTTTCCGTAATAACCGACTTCTTTATTTACATTGGTAAGAGCGTAGCCAGCCCAAAATTTGGCAACCCCCCCCCCCCTTTTTTTTTTATATATGACGTATTACGGATGCTTATTCGCTCTATTTCGCTACGAACAAGGCGAGATATTAGCAGCCACTGATATCTAACGCCACGTTAAAATACCCCTTATAGACTTACTTCACCGCTGAGTTTTTCAGGCTATAC